CAAAGATCTACCTTATAGGGCATAATATGCAAAAAATGCAAAATCAGAATTTTTGTGCAAATATAAAATGAACTGATCAAATATTTTATTTAACTCATTCATTATTGGAAGTAATAGTAAAATGTTAAAACCACACTGTAGAGTACTTGAGATGTACCTAGCAGGTTTACATAGGTAATATTAGGAAGTAGTTGCTAGGTTAGATGACCAAAACTGATTAATATCCAATAGGGTTGTAAACTATAACCTTAGGTCATTTTATCAACTATGCAGAAATTATATGAAGCTTTACCTGAAAGTAATCTACAATTCAACATGTAACCAATACTGGGACCTTTAATCAGCAATAGATAGAAATTATTTTGCCCTGTGATCCTTGGGTAGCTTTTGTCCTGCTTGACATTTAAAGTATGTGCTGCACACCTTTGTTACCTTTTTCCAAATTTCACACAATTTTTCTGACATACTTGTCAGACTGGGAAACTGGGCCTGAAAACCTTAAATCAGTCCTTCGGTAATTCTAATGTTGACTTTAGTTTTGAGAACCACTGCTCTAAAAATTCACAGTATGAAGTAATACATTGAAAACTTCAGTATAGACAATAAAATTGGATGTATTAGCTAACAGTTGCAACTTAACTCCTTTGAACTTTTTTTCCTGCTCACATTTTTTTGTTTTTGTTTTTTTTCTGTTTTATTATTGGGTCTTGTAGATGTATCATATGATATAAGTGACATAGTCAGACTTACCAGTTCACAGTGATAAAATCCTTGAAAGCTTTCCTTACAAAGAATATACCTTTCATAATTTAGCATAATGAAAGGTACATTACTATCCATTTTTGGCATATTTGTGCAAGTTCGTACATTTTTGTTACAGCTAAAAGAAGTAGTTTTGGAAGTCACAAAGGTTATATTATTAAAATTCCATAATATATACTTATTAGTAATAATATGACTAAAATCTAAGGGCAAGTTAGAGGGTCACATGTAATTAGCATCATGAGCACAGATTTATCTAAAAAACACTTGGTTTAGAGTTTTAACTAAAATAAGATTGCATTCTTAACTGAAGTATTTCATTGTCATTTAAATATGTTTAATGTTCTTTCCATTTTCTCCAGAGATAAGTAGTAAAAAAAAAATCATTCAGTTCTTTTCTTGGAATAGTAACAAAATTTGTATCTGACTTAACACATTTGACCTTATACTCATCAGAGGAAGTGAGCACATGTTCTGTGAGTAATCCCCTAGATACATCTCCAGCCAAACAAAGGAGCAGTGAGATCAAATTCTAGTGATTTTTCTCCACTGAAATAAAATTAAAATTAAAAAATTACATTAACAGGCTTCCATTCTTTATGGAAAGCGAAGAAGATGGAAGAGAGATTAACAGTGATGGTAGTGATGACAAAGGTTGGAGAAGCGAGTTACTAGACAGAGTGGTGAGGGCATATGGACTGGACCAATGCTATCCTTTTTGAAAGTTTTTTTTTCTTTCCAGTAGTAGTATGCTTTTTTTTTTTTCCCTCAATTCTTGCTTGTGAACATAGTGATAGTAGGTGGGTTAATCTGGTCACAGATTATTATTGTTCCCAGTATACAGTGCTAATCAGAAAATTTGGAAATGATTACTCCTGATCTTATTGGAACCCTTTCCATTGTAATGTTAAAAGCTCTTCAGCCTCCAAGGGGAAATCATTTGAGAACTGAAGACTTAAAAAGAAAAAAAAAAGCATTCCACTTATTTTAAAAATTGGGAAGTGAGAACATAAAACACTTTAGTATAACTGCTGACCTTTAGGAGAAAACTATTCCCTGGGTTGTACCTTAAGTGAATAGAACTGCATCACCCTTTGGCCCAGTGAAACCCTGCCAAGAACTAAACCAAATCTTTAGTATAGGATTTTATAGTCTTGGCCTTAAGTCAGTATTTCTCAATCTCAGCACTATTCACATTTAGGCTTGATCATTCTTTGTTCTGGGGACTGTCCTGTTCATTATATGATATTTTAGTAGCATTCCTGGCCCCATCCCCTTTTGCGACAACTAAAAATGTCTCCAAATACTATGAAATGAGAGGTAGAATTGCTGCTATGTTAGATGACTCATTAATAAAGGATATTTTCCAGGCTTTAGTTTCAGTCCTAAATATTTTATCATTTCAAATGTTTTCATAGAGTGTTTTAAGAACTTTAAAAATAACCAGGGACACATTGCTACTTGGGAATTGAAAGTGAGGACAAGGTCTTTCCTCAATTTGAGAATCCAATATTATGACCATTGACTGCTGAAGGTGTTTCTTAAGCTAAAGAAAAAAAAAATTCATGAAATCATTTACTGAGTCAGGAATATATATGCAAAATGTATTGGGCCATAGTATAAAAGGTACTTCTTACTTTGAAATAACAGGAAGACATACAAAACTGGTGGCCTAATGAATATGTATACTGTGCCCAGCCTTCTCTTTCTAGCTGGGCTGTTCTAAACATGTACTGCATAGCAGTAGGTGATAGTTAATGCTATTATCTAGTCAGGTTGGACTTATCGAATCTTTTGTGAAATATGAAATCTTTAAACTTGTTCATTGCAATAGACTGGAGACTTACTTTGAACTTTGGTTTCTGGTACATATCATCTGCTTGCAAGAGGAGGAAGCTCTAAACTCCATCACATATTTTAGAGCATACTTGGCACATTACTTGTGGATGAATTGTTCATGCCCTCTCTCCTCCTACACAAGATGCTCTATCTTAATTGTTTTCTTCTTCAGCATGCATGCAAGGTCCTGTTTCTCATCAGTTACTGTTTATTTTATTAACATTTGTAGAAAAATTATCGTGAAAGGGCAAGAAACGTTTTGTGTATTTGTTGAAGATGAAACATAAACAGGCGCATAAAGACATCTAAAAATTACTCCAAACAATCTGCTTGTACTTTTTTTTTATAAAGCTCATTTAAAAATAATAGCCTTAGGTTGCATAATAGTCTATAAGGAATACATTGAATAAGACAATCTGCTATTACAACTCATGGATTCAGCTGCTAGTAGATAATTCTTGACTTTCTAAGTTTCATCATTTCCAATCACTTCAAAAGCTGCCTTAGTTCTGTTTATTAAAGAAAACACATTATATTTTGAGTTATTTCATTTATCCAGTGGTTATTTTTTTAAAGATTGAAACTGTTCCAAGAAGCCTGTTTTTATCTTGTAAATCATTAGAGAACATTTTAGGCTAGTTTCATAATGTTAGGAACCCTGTCTTAATATAGCTGTTTTTTTTTTCTCTAAGGAAAAATTGTTAGATTATTCAAAAGTTGCTTATATTTCAATTCAATTTCACAGTGGAGGTTTTTATATCCTGTGTTTTAAAGTTAAATGACAACAAGCAGAGATATTCAATGTATTTTCATGCTTGTTTCAGGGGAAATTTGTAGAGGTTTTTTTGGATTGTATAATATCCTAAGTTTTATATTTGCAAAAGATCAGGAGTTATATTACATGAAAATTCACATTTATTTCATTCTTCCCTTATATATTTTTCATATTATTGAGCTACTATGTCTAGTTTTTATGTGTGAAATCAAAGTAGGTGTAGAGATAGTTTATGTTCACTAAAAACTAAGCATTATAAGAGAGGTAGTTGTTTAGGAAGCCACATTTCTAGTATTGCCCTTCAAAAGTAAACTAAGGAGCAGTACTAATGTGAATTGAAGGGTAAAATTTCTTTGTCAGCAGAGAATATAATTTTTAAGTTAATTTAGGTACAGAGTTGTTTATTTGTGGTACTTGAGACTAGCTTGAAATTACTTTTTCATAAGTTAAAGTTTCCCTGTTCATTCAGTTAATATTTAGCATCCACTGCTTGCTGGATACTATATAAAATTCTTATATATTGGCTTTTAAAACTTTCACCTGCCTTAATAAATGATATCAGTGCTACATTACTCTTAAAAATAATAAATCAAGAGAATGGAAATCTTTTATAGCCATCTATATCCATAGTAAGGTTAAAACCCAGTTGTGTCACTTCTAATACAGCTAATACAGCTTTTTGTGTGAGTATACTATTGTAAAAGGTGACTGTGAATAACTCTGAGAGGAGAAAATGTATTATTTTGGGAGGATATATTTGTCATCCTATTAGAAAGGTTCATTTGAATCCCATTGTTGTTTAATGTTAAAGAGTATAATTGAAGTGGTGGCTGAACTTCTAAGTGAATTTTTGATTTTGCTTCCTTCTAGATACTCAGTTAAAAATAAACTGAGGTAAAGAGAAGGATGAAGATACTTTGTCTTTACAAACAGTGTACTAAGTTACCTAAGTGTTCATATTCAATTGCTAAGGAAATTCTGGAAAGTGCCTCTACCAAGATATAAAAGTCATTTTTCCTACTCTTTATTAAGCAATTAATTGATATTTTTTTCTCTTCATTCTGTGGGGAAAAAGTAAGACTTTGGAGGAGGAGCTTCTAAACAGTCAAGTTTCAGTAGAATATAAAATTAAACTTCACCAAATATTGTTTTAATGCCTTCAAAAAGGAATATGGTCAGTAATCTACATAATCATTAGTATATTTAAGAAATGCTGCTTCTCACCAAGGTCTTAGGAGCTTGTGATGTTTGTAAAGAGATGAAGCAGATCACATATTTTTATATTTTATGTTTACTTATAAATTGATACTCATTTCAGATTGGGTTTATTATGGTATGTTTATATATTGTCTCATTGTGTTTACTTTTATTTGTTCAGATTGGAAAGTCCCTTGAATTTATAAATTATAAATCTAGTTAATCATTTGTTATTTTGACCTAACTTTACTTCTTGGCTCCTTCCTGTGAGTAGACATGATAAGAACTAAGTCTTCTGTGTTATTTTCTGTAAAGAAAATATTGATGGTTTAAAATATGTGATATCATAAATAGTTTTAAATCTTCACAAAAAATCTTGATTACTCTTAAGTTCAAAATGTAAAAACAACTTTTCATTTTTTTAAAGGTGATGGATGTGGACACACTGTTTTAGGCCCTGAAAGCGGAACCCTTGCATCCATAAACTACCCGCAGACCTATCCCAACAGCACTGTTTGTGAATGGGAAATCCGTGTGAAGATGGGAGAAAGAATTCACATCAAATTTGGTGACTTTGACATTGAAGATTCTGATTCTTGTCACTTTAATTACTTGAGAATTTATAATGGAATTGGAGTCAGCAGAACTGAAATAGGTAGGACATTTTATTATAAATATACTTGTAATGCATTGTTACCTCAGATCTTAAAACTAAGGCAGTTTTTGATAATTAATACTGCATAAGATGATATGTGGGAATTATTCAAACTTACAGAATTCTGAGGTTTGAATCTTCTTTGGGACTGGAAGATTCTTGTCTGTTTAGTTTGGTTATATACATTTTTTTTTTCTTGGCAGTACCAGGGTTTGAACTCAGGGCTTTGTGCTTCCTAGGCAGGCACTCTACCATTTGAGTCACACCTCCAGCCCTTTACACTGTGGTTATTTTGAAGATTGGGTCTTACCTTTTGCCTGGGCGAGTCTAGACTGTCATCCTCTTACTTAGATTCCCACCATAGCTGCGATGACAGGCACACACCATCATACCCAGTTTTTTCTGTTGAGGTGAACAAAAAAAAATCTTGTGAACTTTTTTGCCCAGGCTGGCCTGAAACCTCTACCCTTCTCATCTCAGCCTCTTGCATAGCTGAGATGACACATACGTTGGTTGAGATGAAGTTTCTTGAACATTTTTGCCTGGGTTGGCTTTGAACAGTGATTCTCCTGATCTCAGCCTCCCAAATAGGTAAGATTTCAGGCCATCATGCTCAGTTTGTTTATTTACTTTTCTAAGAAGCCTGTGTTGGCACCTATGCACACCTTCTTGGAAGAAGTTAATGGCCTTATTTTTAATATTCTCCTTTGATCATTTTAATTATGGTTGGAGAAAACAAGTATAATTCATGCTTTAGGAGGTAGAATAGTAATTTAAGAATGTAGGTTTGGAGCTGGGTGTCCTGAGATTGAAGCCTAACTCTGCTATCAGGTTGCTCTATGACTTTGGGCAGATTGCTTAACCTCTCTGTTATCTTACCTGTAAAATAGGGAATGAACTAGTAGTATAAGTAAATTGCTTAGAAAAGTATGTGACACATAAATAGATCCTTAGTAAACTGTTACTATCATTGTCATTCTTGTGTAAGAACAGTGATTCTTAATCTCAATTATAGCTGTCTATTAGAGTCACCTCAAGATGTAAAAAGCATTTCTGAGGCCTCAGAATTATAAAAGCTTTCTAGGAAAATCTACTTTGCAGCCAAGATTTATAAACTTTGGCTTAGTGCTCAGTACCATTCTCTTAGCCAAGAAAGGTGGAAGAATTTGAAAGTCCTTTTTTTTTTTTTTTTTTTGGTGAGTAACATAATAAAAACACTTGAATTCTGTGTGAGTTTGCTTGGAAATATTTATTGGTACCAGAATATAAAATATTTTTCAGATCCTGTTCTTTAAGTACCATACTATGTTCAAATTCTCTGACCTCTGCTACTTCAGCATATTTGTCATCTCTTTTCTACTTTTTTGGCTTCTTATTTTTGGTTTCCCTGGCTGATGAATGATCAACAGCCTCTGATTTCTCTTTTGATTGACCTGGTAGCTTGATCACCACCTTCATTATTCCATCAGTATATGTTGTTGGATAAATTTTAGGAACTCAAATTGCCTGAGGATGTGTAAGCAGTACTTCTTTAATATTAGGAGGAGACTTGGGATAGTAAATGGCTCCTGACTTACAGTAGAGAGCCGGAAGTACCACCTGATATTCCTGAAACAGCAGTGACAAAAGCCTAAGTTTAACTCAGCCTTACAGGAAATTTCTCTATCACTTTCTTAATAGAGATAGAGAAATGTGTTATACTAACTATAAGGACAGAATTAAAAATGGGAGAAAGTCTATAGGAAAAAAAGACCTAGTTTTTTCAAAATATAAATAGCATTTAAGAAAAAGGATGATAGTAGACACATCCTCCAAATGTAGGAATCTTGCTTGAAACTCCAAGTTAACTAAAACATTTTAAAGAAGAATGGGGCATTAAGTGACAATAAAGAATGTTTTAGATATGATAATGTAATAATTACTTTTTAATTCTAATGTGTTAGAGCCATTCTGAAGTTCATTGAAATATCTAGGATTTATTTTAAGTATTTCAGTGAAAAAAGGCAGGAGGGGGCCAGATAAGAGAAACAATAGCAGCCCCTCATTCAAGATATCTATTTGATTATGTTCCTTAAATCTTTAGGCACTATTTACAAAGAAGGAAGTAGAAGTCTTTAGGACTTTATTTCACAAATGTCCCTTGCATTTTCAATTTCTCTCTCTCTCTCTCTCTCAGTATTGGGATTTGAACTCAGGGCTTTGCAGTTGCTAGGCAGGTTCTCTATTCAGTATTTCTTTCTGTACTGTTCCCTTTCCCTATGATATGCTTTGGCCTTCTTATTTTTAGGGGAAAAATAATATATTTTTTTATCATCAAGTCTCTTGAAAAATATATATTTAATGAAAATGATAGTTAATCTATTTTGAATCCTTATTCTGTAAAGAATCTGATTAATCATGAAAATAACATGCCTGCAGTGCTTGCCATGTGCAGTCACTATTTAAAGTACTTTTTATCAGTTAACTTAGTCTTTTCAAGAACCCCTAAGGTAGGTACTATTACTCCATTTACTGATGAGAAAACTAAAGCAGATGGGGCTGGTGGAGTGGCTCAAGTGGTAAAGCTCCTGCTTAACAAGTGTGTTGGCCCTGAGTTCAAACCCCAGTACTACCAAAGAAAAAAAAGAAAAAAAACTAAAGCAGAGTGGTTCAGTAACTTGGCCGAGTTACTAAATAGGTAGTAAATGGGTAAGCAGACCTAAACAGTCTGTTTTCAGAATTGTTGTCTCTTGATGTACATGATTTCCATGGATCCTACATGAATCCTGTGTGTTACTCCCATAAAACAGATAAGGAAGAAAAGATCAGAGAAGATAAGCAATTTATTCAAAGTCACATAAACTGCTAGGATTTGAACTAAAGTCTGGCTGTTAGCAAAGTGCATAATCTTCATCACGGATATTTTACCAGTTTCTTATTCCTTAATCTTCTACAATCTGGTTTTCTCCATCCGAAACTGTTGAAACTAGCAACTTTTTAATGAATATTAACTTTTTTTCTTTTAGGTATTTATTTTGATGTAGTTTCAGACTTAATGGAAAAGTTGCAAGGATAGGATAAAGAATTTCCATAAATCTTCTGCCTAGATTTCCCTAATATTACCATTTTATCCCTCTTCCCATCTGCCAGTATATCTTTTTTCTAAGCTGTTTGAGAGTTAGCTTTGGGCTTACCTCTTACTTCTGTATACTATAGTGTTTATTCCCTTAAAAATAAGAACATTATCTTTACATGTGCACAGAATAGTTATCAAAGTAGAGGAAATTAACATTGGTGTACTAAGCAGCAGACCGTATTCACATTCTTACAGTTGTCCCAATAATGTGCTTTATTGTAAAAGAAATTCTCAGATAGTATATTGTATTCAGTTACATATCTTTGTGGTCTCCATTGCTCTGGAGATTATTAAAGGAGAGGACAGTTCTTTGGTTTCTCTTTTGAGCTTCTCAAAGTTGACATTTTTTAACTACATGGGCCAGTTATTTTGTGGGATGTTCTTAACCGTGTTAGGCAAGAGCTTCACTGATGTGATGTTCCCAGAACATTCTGTCATGGCACACAGTGTTGATTCGCTCTGTTAATAGTGATGTTCCTCAGGTTTCTGCACAATTTCTGTTTCTCTTCAAAATCAATGCATAGCTTATGAGACTCTGAATGATATAAAGATGGGTTGTTTATAAACTTGCATCTGTTAGTTTGGCATCCACTAATGAATTTTGTCTAAATCAGTTATTATGATAATTGTGAAATGGTGATTTTCTAATTCCCTCATTCTATGTTCATTAGTTTTTTCAATTAGAAAAAGAAGCTCCCCCCCTTCTCCACATTTGTTTGTTTATATGATGTGAACTCAGTAGATTCTTACCTTATTTCATGGCTTAAAACCATTTGCCACATTGTTTCAATGTTCAAATTCTCCGAAATTTCACACTAACTCCTGTGTCCTTTTGTGATGTGTGCATCATTCTTTGAGTACTTCCTTATGTTTTCCATGACCCAGGATATTCTAGGCATATTTTGCACTTTCCCTGCCCCAGTTCTGCAGTCAGCCACTTCCTCTAGGAATCAAGGATCTTTTTAGTATAGAAGGGTTTCAGGAGTCAGTGTCTGGTGCCAGATTTAGAGCAATGGGCTGTCATACCCTATTGACAGAAGGATTTAGTAAATAGATGTATGTATAGATGTGCATAACACATATACACACATCCATTGTCTACTTACATTTGAAAAGTATGAGTTCATACTGATACTTCTGTTCCTGATCCAATATTATAAGGTTCATGCTATCCTTTTCCTACTTACATTATTACTCACTTCTCTGATAGTGAGATATCTGGCTCTCATTATCTACAACATATTTACTTATTTGTTCAGTGCTGTAACCACAAAGTTCAGAATTGTTGACTTTTGGCTCTAAAGAAAGGAGCCTGTTACCTAGCATTTATGTTTGTTTAGAGTCTTCATCTCAGGATGTATTGATTCAATAGTGTTTCAAAGATTACTTGGGCTAGTTGTCTCCCCACCACCTCCAGACCTTCAGTGTGGTGGTGGTATTCATCTGAAGTATGGTCTGGTTTATTTATTTCTGTTCATATTCCAGTAGAGATTTTTTTTCTTCCATTCTTGTTTGCTTTTTCTTTTGCTGAGTACGTGAAGCATTAATAAGGTGTTCTAAGTTAAAACTCATAAAAAGGTGTACTCAGGTAACTGGAGTGCCTCCCTCCCCTCTGCAGACCATTTCTTCTGTCCTCTTCACTTTTCCTGGCCCCTGTAGCTAACCAATTGCATTAGTCTTTGTTTTATCTCTTCTGCATTTTTTTGTACAAGTAAAGTATTTCTATTTTGTCATTCTTCCATCTTTATATAAACCCTAACATGCTGTTCTTTTGCACTTTGTTTTTTTCATCCATTAGAGAAAATGTAGCAGTGTATCCTGAGAATTACTCCACATCACTTCATAGAGAATATCTTCATTATTTTTTCTTAACTCTTGCAAATTT